AAGGATTTTCCAAAAAGCAGAATGATTAAAAGTGTCAAAAGCCTTCCTCAGATCTACAAATATTTGATAAAAGTCCAATTGCTGTTCACGGCTCTTTTTCTGGATTTGTCGTGCTGTGAAAATCATTTCTTTGATCCCTCTGCGTTGGTGGAAACCACACTGTGACTCGGGCAGTATATTGTCAACTATTCTCTGGTTTAATCTTAATAGAAGAAAGGAGAGCAATCCCTCTATAATTACCACATAATTCTCGGGCACCTTTACCCTTATATATATATATATATATAAGTATCATCCCTCCAATCTTTTGGCACTTCTGCATCTATCCAAATCTTTACAATAAGATCATGCATAAGTTGACTTAAATGTGTTCCACCATCTCAGCAGGAAGGCCGTCAAACCCAACAGCTCTGCCCATGTTGAGTCCCTCCATGCCATGTAGAACCTCGCCCAGCGATGATTGGCTGTCAAGTTCTACCACTATGGGTCTTTGGGGTATTTTCTCAAGAACCTCAGGGTCCATATTTGAAGTACTATTCAGTAGGCCACCAAAGTGTTTCTTCCATCTCTTGGACATGCCATTCATGTCTGTGAGGAGATTATTGCTGTCCTTTGTCCTGAGAGGAGCAATCTTGGTGGATCTGGGGCCAAATACTTGTTTCCTCAAGTAGTACATCTGCTTGATATTATTTGAATTCACTGCATTCTGTACTTCATTCGCTAGCTCTGACCTCCATTTTTCCTGCATAGTTCGAAGAGCACGTTCAGCTTCTGCTTTTGCAGCTTTAAACTCCTTGCACAATTTACTGCGTTGTTCTTTGGACAGACCTTTTTGCACAAACTTTACATTGTGAGCAAAACTGAGACAAAGATGCTGATTCCCAAAGATCAAATATGGCTGACATCTTACTTATTATAAAATGCAGATTGTGTGTGTGTGTGTGTGTGTGTGTGTGTGTGTGTATGTTTATATATTGGATCGGATTTCCTACATTTTCCAACTGATTTCAACAAAACTTCACAGGACTACGTAAAATTACCTTGCAGTGATTCTGACAGTGCCAAAAATTGAAAAAACACAATTGTTTTTGTACAAAATCAATTTGAAAACACGATTAAGAGGCATTAATGAAAGGGGGACAACTCATATCGAGTTATACTTATTAATATCGAGTTATCGACTTATACTTATTATAAAACTCAGGTTGTGTGTGTGTGTGTGTGTGTGTGTTCCTTTATATATGGGATCGGATTTCCTACATTTTTCAACCGATTTCAACAAAACTTTTTTTTGGCAGGTAGTGTTTCTTATTGTCTTGCACACTTTTTTCTTTATTTTTACATTCAGAATGCTTTAAAAATTCTATTTACAAGACAATTGTTTATAATAAAATTCTATTCAATCGGTAGACTCATAACGATTGAAAACAATGTTTTTGTTTGAGTTTGGGTTTTACCAATTTGTAAAAAAAAAAAAAAAACTAATTAAGACATGCGTGTCCGTCAACCTTAAACAATAATCTTTGTCAATTTTATTTTTCAGTCTTTATGATGGTTGATACTTGATCTATCTCTTACTGTTACATCCCCCGGGCAACGCCGGGCTCTACTGCTAGTATCAAATAACAACTGATATCAAAAACCTGCTCACTTTGTGTTTTATTATCCATTGTGCTGAGTGCATTTGCAATCTTCAGTCCTGCGTGATACATGCTTAGGCAATCATGTATCTTTTGATACATAAAAAGGCAGATTTTTTTCTCCGCAGTAGGTTGCCATTTCTTTCTGCAGTAGACCAGTTGCCATCCAAGGCTATAGAACCCAGTCTGTCCTACTATTTACCCATAGCTGAGGGGAGAAGAGGATTCATACCTTTCCCAAGGGTATTAGCACGTATGTGAATGTAATGGATTCGACTGGAATTCGAATTCGGCATATATACAAGGAATCAGTCAGTTATGTGCCATGCATGATACATGCTTAGGCGATCATGTATCTTTCGATGCATGACTGAAGAGGCAGATTTTTTTCCTCAATCCAAGCTGCTATCCATTACTCCACCCTTGCTGTTTCAAATAAGAAGCTTTTTAAGCCGAGTAAAAATTTCTGAAAATGTGTAATACAACCACCCATTTTGCCTTTAATTTTTGTTTAAATTTTCTTGTTTTACACCCAAGAAAAAAACGGTATAATAATATCAAAATACTGCTATATGTTAATGATAATTCCTCGTCTCAAAATTATTCAGAAACGACTTGGATGCTCACCTGGTGTCCCCCACTTAGAGTCATCAGTGAAGACTAAGGTTTGTTTAGTAAATACAATAACTAGATCACAACAGACTTATTGGCGCCTCTTGGTGGTGTAATAGCTAGTAAGTGGGTATCGCAAACAATAACTACTATTAAATAGTAATTTCAATGTCCCAGACATGTGGCGTTAGACTAAAAGAAAAACAGCCAAACTGTGTAAATAGATATGTGCATAAGAATTCAATGTTTTGGGAACCAAGAGCTTGTAATGTGAAGAGAGGACAAATGGAGCGAGAAAACAGAAAAGGGAGGCGTGCAACAAGCATTTTTCTCACCGAATTTATACAGCGAGAGATAATTCTATCTACCAGAATTTATCAGTGGACATATTGTTAACATGTTGATGATAGATTCAAAATGAAAAGTGAAAAGAAATATCAGAAAAAATAGCCAAGGAAAGCAGGAAGAAAGATGGAATGCATGGTTGTGAGCACAATGGGGGCCGTCCAAGATGTGAATTACATATTGGGCAGGGCAAAATCTGAAAATGTGACACAGACATTTGAAGGTATCTAGGAATAGCGAAAGAAACCGAGTAAAGAAAGGATAAAAAAAAAAAAATATAATTAGAAATGAATATAGCTGGATTGCTGCGTAATATCTACTCTTCAATATTGAAGATGAACAATTTTGTCAAAAACTGAAGATTAAGTCACCTGAGACGTGGTTTGATTGACAAATGATTTGGTTTGATTTGTTTTGTTTTATGGCATATCAATCGCAATGCATTATATAATGCCGACAATTTTTATTGCTGGTAATTTTTTTTTCCTTCAAAAAATCTATTTCTGGTCATATTTTTTCTTCAAAAATGTATCACTGCTAATATTTTTTTCAAAAAAATCTATAGCTGGTAATTTTTTTTTTTTTAAAATATGTATTGCTGGTAATAATTTTTTACAAAGTATTTCTAGTATTAAAATCTATTTTTACACTTACATCGTGTTTTGACCCCTGTTTGATTCTGATCAGAGGCCTTGCTGTTGGACATAGTTTATCGTCTTATTCAGGATGTGGATGTAGTTTATCGTTTTACCCAGGATGCAATTGACAAATGATAATAATACTATGAAACTTTAAGAATATAAACAGTCGGAAAGAAACAGCGGAACTGTGATGAAGACTAGGATAATTTAACACCAACAAGACACACGGAATCAGGAAAACAGCGAGGTTTTATAAGAAAACAGGCAAAGGAATTAGCATGACAAAGACAAAGAAGACTCATAAAGGAAAAAGCATTGGTTAAGAATTATGGAGAAACATGTACATACCAAGATAAACAGATGGATTTTGCATTGAAATGTGGAGAAAAGCAACAAAAAAAAATCATGGAATCAAAAACCAAAACAGAAGAAATGTTCTGGTCTTAAAAACACGAATCACATTCCAACTCTGATAGAACCAATCTGAAGAATTGGCAGAAGAAATAGAATATACATTAATATATATCTGAATGTTGCAAAGACTGTTCCCAAACAATGAACCTAGTGATGGGGATGTCAAGAAAACCATAAAAAATAAACTTTCGCTTAACATTGAGGTTAAACTTTTGAAAGTAACATACTCTTTTCCTCAAATTCAAAAATAAGTTTTTCAGTTTTATGAAGGAAGTCTAGAGTCAAAAACACATCCTAAAGCAGTGTAGTATATAACATTATTAAGGAAACAAAAATGTCATCCTGAAGACCCTCGCACATACAGAGATATCTCAACTGGATCCATTATAGTGAAAGTATAAATGACTGTTTTACGAACTAGACTCTCATCATTCTCCGAAAGTTAATTTCTGACAAACAACCTTGGTTTTTGTTCTGGTAACAGGTGCAATGATGGCATCAAACAACTCTAAGAAATCGTATACCTATCGAATATCTGATATATTGATCTCATATCAAGGATATTAACAGAGACATCTTCTTCTCATCCATTAGAAACCATCTTTCAAGCTCTGAATGCCTTGATCCGATAGGGAAACAATATCAGTCTGCCAAGGTGTATATGTCTGATGAAGACCCAAACAGCAAATTATTTGAAACCTCATTTTTTACTGACAATAAAAGAAAAAAATAATTGCAATCAAATTAAATTCAGTTTGAAATACAGTAAAGTATTTTGCATATTGGAGATATTAAATTTAATTACCTTGAAATGAAAACTAGAATAAAAGTTTCAGGAAAGATTTTCCATTTTTAAAATGCATGTTACTGCCTAGTTCACACTCCTCCCTGTTCTTTTGAACAGGAGTAGAGATTTACCCCTTGTTTCCTGCTTAGGACTGGGTTTCTGATTACTTCTAAAGTCTCATTCTCTTTCACTCCCAGTATCCCCTTGCATCTTAGTGGCATTATCACCTTGCTTAGGATGGATAGATTAAAAAAAAAAGAAAGAATATATATATATATATGTGTGTGTGTGTAGGCCCCACATATGTAAACATTGTACATTGTTTCATGTAACAGAGACATAAATAAATGTATTTGGACATGTAAGCATATATAATCCATATAAAAAGTAAATATATTATTATGTTTATAGTCATGTATGCCAGTGTATCTGAGATTTTTTTTTCATGCACAGACATGTATATATGTAAATGTTTTTAAGCCCACACTCCTATTACGTAAGCCCACTTGAAAAAAAAAAAAGTCCGCTTTCCAAACTGGTGATCTGAAGTTTCAACAGGCCATGACTTCTCTAGAAGCGACCCAGGTCGGCACCTTTGATATAAGGCGGTATATAGTTGTTACAGAGTGTAGACCAATCCCCCTTCTCTTTCCCCAGCCCCAACTGTTTGCCCCCACGAGGCTCTCTCCTTTACCCCCGCCATGTACCTAACACCAACACTACATCGAAATTAGGAATGTAGGGTAGTAGTGGGTGAAGAGAAAGAAGACTAACATAGAATGCCTACTACCTCCTAGTACCAGTTGCTTCTCAATCTGTCGACTCCCATGTTTACATGCAGCTCTTCCTTTCTCTCTTGTATGCACGTCTACATACTATTATCCCCCCCCACTCTCTGTAATCTACAAAGAAGCTGTGGAGAACCATGATTGCCTATGTTCTGCTGAAACAAGTACTTCTTTCTGTTCTCTCTCACACACACATTCTCTCTCCCTGTTGTCGACACGATGTAACTATCTTTTCTTTCTTTCTGTTAGCCTTTCTTTATTATTCATTGTTCTCTTTCTCTCTTTTAAGCACATCTTCTTTCTGGTATTTATATAGAAAGGAAGCTATGGAGAACCGTGACAGCCCACCTCCTTTATTGGCATGATTCAAAACTCTTATAATTCTTTTAGCCTTCTTTTTTTACTCCCCTCTTTAAACACATATTGTTACCTCTGTTATCTATATAGAAAGGAAGCTGTAGAGATCCATGACTGTTTATGTAAGACATATCTCTTTCTCTCTCGTGTTCACCCCCACCCCACCTACACTGTTGTCCATGATGCAAATGTAAACAGAGTTTTTCCATTTCCGCCCTCTCTCTCCCAAAGACATCCATATGCTGTTATCTACAAAGAAGCTGTGAAGATCCGCGATCGCCTACGCTCTCATCAGATATATCGTTTGAGAGAGAAAGAGAGTTGTTTCTCTTTTCCATGTACTGTTCCCTCTCTCTAACGTTTACATGATCAGTCTCTCCTTGTTATTGAGATAAGAGAAAACAGAAAGAAAAAAGAAAGGTTAAGAGAGAGAGAAAAAGAAAGGTTAAGAAAGAGAGAGAGAAAAAGAAAGGTTAAGAAAGAGAGAGAGAGAAAGAAAGGTTAAGAGAGAGAAAAAAAGGTTAAGAGCAAGAGAGAAAGAAAGGTTAAGAGAGAAAAGAAAGGTTAAGAAAGAAGAAAAAAAGGTTAAGAGAGAAAAAAGGTTAAGAGAAAGAAAGAAAGGTTAAGAGGGTTAAGAGAGTGAGAGAGGTTAAAGAGAAAAAGAAAAGGTTAAGAGAAAAAAAAGGGTTAAGAGAGAGAAAAGAAAAAGAAAGGTTAAGAAAAGAAAAGAAAAGGTTAAGAGAAAAAAGAAAGGTTAAGAGGAGAAAAGGTTAAGAGAGAAAAAGGTTAAGAGAGAAAAGAAAGGTTAAGAAAAGAAAAGGTTAAGAAAAGAAAAAAGGTTGAAGAAAAAAGAAAGTTAAGAAGAAAAGGTTAAGAAAAGAAAAAAAGGTTAAGAGAGAGAGGTTAAGAGGTGAGAGAAAAGGTTAAGAGAAAAAAAGAAAGGTTAAGAGAGAAAAGAAAAGGTTAAGAGAAAAAAAAAAAAGGTTAAGCGAGAAATAAATAAAGGTTAAGAGAAAAGAAAAGGTTAAGAGAGAGAGAGAAAGAAAGGTTAAGAGAGAGAGAAAAAAACTATGTATGAATAGTTGTATACATGTCAATAACAAGAAGAGACTGGTCAGGTAATGTAACTTTCTATACATAGTTCTTTCTTTCCCTCTCTTAACCTTTCTTTCTCTGTTATTTTTTTCTCTCTTTCACACACTTACTGCCATCTCTCTCACTGTTCTCACTCAACATCTGCATATTCTCCATTCTCTCATGTCTCCAGGCTGTAATTTCCCTCACTCTTCACTATATGTTTGTTTTCTCACCCTCTCTATTATCTTCATATTGTTCTTCTATTACTCTCAAGGCATATTTGGCTGAATACACAGGGTGCGGCAGAAATAACTCCAACACAATGGTAAGAAATTAGCTAGACAAAACACCATTCTTACCATTTTGTGGGAGGTATTTCTTCCACATCGTGTACATGTTTCTTTAAGTTTCACTGTCTTTTCTTTCTTTTTTTTTTTTTCAAATTTAAAAAAAAAAATCAATTCACCCCAAGTAAAGAGATAGTAAGATGCAAGAGGCTACTGGGAATGAAAAAGAATGTGAGGACTTAAGGAACTGGAAACCCAATTGTAAACAGAAAACAAAGGATAAACCTCTACTCCTGACTGAGGAGGAGTGTGAACAGGACGACATATGAACCTATCTACTCCTATTGATATTCCCCTGTTTCCCCTTTTCTTTCGCTCTCTCTTAAACTTTCTTTCTCTGTTAACCTTTCTTTCTCTCTCTTAACCTTTATTTCTCTCTCTCTCTCTTAACCTTTCTTTTTCTCTCTCTCTCTTAACCTTTCTCTCTCTCTTAACCTTTTTTCTCTCTCTCCCTTAACCTTTATTTCTCTCACTCTTAACCTTTCTCTTTCTTAACCTTTCTTTCTCTCTCTCTTAACCTTTTTTCTCTCTCTCCCTTAACCTTTTCTCTCTCTCTCTTAACCTTTTTCTCTCTCTCTCTTAACCTTTCTTTCTCTCTCTCTCTTTTAACCTTTCTTTTCTCTCTCTCTCTCTCTCTCTCTCAACCTTTATTTCTCTCACCCTTAACCTTTATTTCTCTCTCTCTTAACCTTTCTTTCTCTCTCTCTCTCTTAACCTTTCTTTTTCTCTCTCTCTCTCTTAACCTTTCTTTTTCTCTCTCTCTCTTAAACTTTCTCTCTCTTAAACTTTCTCTCTTAACCTTTCTTTCTCTCTCTCTCTTAACCTTTTTCTCTCTTAACCTTTTTTCTCTCTCCCTTAATCTTTTCTCTCTCTCTTAACCTTTCTTTTTCTCTCTCTCTCTTAAACTTTCTCTCTCTTAACCTTTCTTTCTCTCTCTCTTAACCTTTCTTTCTCTCTCTCCCTTAACCTTTCTTTCTCTCTCTCTTAACCTTTCTTTTTTCTCTCTCTCCCTTAACCTTTCTTTCTCTCCCTCTCTTAACCTTTCTTTTTTCTCTCTCTCCCTTAACCTTTATTTCTCTCCCTCTCTTAACCTTTCTTTCTCTCCCTCTCTTAACCTTTCTTTTTCTCTTAACCTTTCTTTCTCTCTCTCTCTCAACCTTTCTTTTTCTCTCTCTCTCTCAACCTTTCTCTCTCTCTCTTAACCTTTCTTTCTCTCTCACTCTTAACCTTTCTTTATCTTTTTCTGAGGTCCCTATTATTTGAACTAAGGCACCCAACAATTTTTTCACCATCTCTCTCACAAACATGCTGTTTCTACTTTCCACCATTTTTTGTTGGTCAAAAATTGTCTTTTTTTTTTTTAACTTTTTTTATTCACTTCATAAGTTATATTCAATCTCCTTTTCTCCCCAACATTCTACATCTCCCTTTCTCTATCTCTCTCTCTACAACCAGTTCAGTTATGTACCATGCGTGATACATGCTTAGGCGATCATGTACCTTTCAATACATGACTGACGAGGCAGATTTTTTCCCACAGTAGGTTGCCATTTCTTTCTTCTGCGGTAGACCAGTTGCCATCCAAGGCTACAGAACCTGGTGTGTCCTGCTATTTACCCATAGCAGGGAAGGAGAAAAAGGGGATTCATACCTTTCCCAAGGGTATTGGCATGTAAGTGAATACCATGGATTTGACTGGAATTTGAACTTGGCATATATACAAAGAATCAGTCAGTTATGTGCCATGCATTATACGAGCATAGGCGATCATGTATCTTTCGATACATGACTGACGAGGTAGATTTTTTCCTGCAGTAGGTTGCCATTTCTTTCTGCAGTAAGCAAGTTGGCATCCAAGGATACAGAATCCGGTCTGTCCTGCTATTTACCCATAGCTGTGAAGGACAAGAAGAGGATTTATACCTTTCTCAAAGGTATTAGCATGTATGTGAATGTAATGGATTCAACTGAAATTCAAACTCGGCATATATACAAGGAATCTGTCAGTTATATGCGATGCGTGATACATGCTTAGGCGATTATGCATCTTTCGATATATGACTGACAAGGCAGATTTTTTCCCCACAGTATGTCGCCATTTCTTTCTGCGGTAGACCAGTTGCCATCCAAGGCTATAGAACCAAGTCTGTCCTGCTATTTACCCACAGGATGCATACCTTTCCCGAAGGTATATGCATGTAAGTGAATGTAATGGATTCGATTTACCAATGAACTGGTTACTTAATTTTTCTTTTGTTTATTTTCGTACTCCATCTTGCTTTCCTCTCTTACAATTCACTGGGCAGTTTTTTTTGTCTTTCTTCTTTTCTGTTCATTCTCATTGAAAGATCAATCTATCACTTTCATATTACCAAACTGGTATCTCTCTCTCGATTTCATATAAATCACTTCCTCATTTATGATCTCTCTCTCAATTTCATATAAATCACTTCCTCATTTATGATCTCTCTCTCAATTTCATATAAATCACTTCCTCATTTATGATCTCTCTCTCAATTTCATATAAATCACTTCCTCATTTATGATCTCTCTCTCAATTTCATATAAATCACTTCTTTATTTATGATCTCTCTCTCAATTTCATATTCACTTCCTCAAATGATCTTGTTTTTTTTTATGATCTCTCTCTCAATTTCTCTTTAAATCTTCTTTAAACTCTCTCTTGTCATTCCTGTTTTTTTTTTCGTATTGGTTTACTCTCTCTTTGTAAACTCATTCTCTCTCTCTCTCTCTCTCTCTCTTTCTCTGAATGGATCAGATGAGAATAGCAATCACAAAGGAGGCATACAAATGTCCAAACAGAAATTTGAAGATTAATATGTCAGCCTCTAAAAATTCATACTTCCATTTATTTTGGAAAGCAAATGTAAAAAAGCAGAGTTTATTTATTAACCCCTGAGTATGGCACAAGGTCATGGACTGTTTACACTTTACAGTATTTGGTGTTCCTAAGGAGTAACCCAAACAAGTACTGATCAGACTAGAGGTTGCTTAACTTTCAGAAGCGCAGATAATTGATGCGGAGAGAGAAATGACGACAAACCAAGTAAAATTAAAATATATTTTTTTAATTAGTTTTACCAACGAATTTAAAACAATTTATACTAATTTACAGAAATTATCGACATCCATGCTAAATTTGTCATCAAATAAAATTGGTTGAAGACAGCTTTACTTACAACCGAATCAAAGAATGGAAATTGACCGTTGGGAGGTATATGCTATTGAATGAGTCCTATTTTTATTAGAATTCATCAGAATTACTTTAACATGACTGAGATATAACTGTAACAACTTATTACAAACTAGCAGCATGGCCTAGCGTTGCCCGTGCTTGATTCAAAAATCATATGACTCATACAGCAATCGCTATCACTTGACTCAAAATATTTTTGCCCTTCCTTGCCTTTAAAGGAGTGCCCTTTGCCGTGCTGATGTTGCTACATGCCTTACTTCTTGCCTATCTCACACTGCGAATCTTTCTAAGCTCAATACTAAACATTAAATCTGTTACTAAAAAAGAATGAAACAAAATGAACACAAAACGATCAGCTTTAAAAAAAAGACTCGTAACTGGAAAAACCGAATGAAAAAAAGAATGTTAACAACAAATACTTTTTCACACCCAACCCAGTTCTGCGGAATCAGAATCAATGTTGAGTTTAAGCAAGCTAATGAGCCAATTGGAGTGAAGTGCCATGCAGATATAAATTTTTCCCACTTGTGATCGATTTTTTTTTGCATGCTAGCATGCTAATTAACATTCGTGTCAGTTAGCTGTTGGCTCTCACGCTGGCCAAAAGAATCTTCCTGCCTATTCATGGCAGCCACCTATAGGCTCTCACTCTGGCCAGTAGAAAGTGGCCGCAAACTACATGAAAACTGCAGTAGAAGCATGAAAAAATTGATTATT